TGTTGGTGTATTTGCTGCGGTGTGTGGTCAGTTTCCCAAGTAGTGGGGTGGGAGGGGGCTGACTGATTATCAAAGTGGTAGAATGGAGAGAGTCATTTCTTTGGTGGTTCGGGCTTGAGCCCTGGGAATTTGGTAAGAAGGGGGAGAGTGAGTTTATTTAGGCGTCAATACCTTTTAAACCCCCATATTGATGGATACACAGGAGTGATTCCTTGTATGGGCTTACTAACAAAGTGCATGAGAAAAATTGGCATTCGGCTTGAAATTCAGTCCTGTTGAAATGTAAATTTTTGTGGAAAAGGTGGTAATGTTTGTCTAGAAGACTGAAGGCTTCGTGCTTCAGCTGTTTTCCTGAAGTTCCATGATTGAAACGGGGCTCGTTAATAATTTGAAATAGTGAAGTTTGTATGTGGGAAGAAGAGTTTAATCCCAGACAATTGGGACATTTGGGAAGATTAGGAAAAGATAGTAAAAACCTGCAGTAAAATGGTTTGCGTGGAAATTGAAACAAAGGACAGTAACTAGTGAGGAATAGTAATAAATAAATAAATAAATAAATAAACAAATAAAAGGGAATGGGAAATCAAGGAAATGGGTAATATCCAAAACAAAGACATTTTAAATAAAGCCTCCTTGGGTGTATATTGGCACATTCGAAGGATATTGTTAGAACTGGGGGCACAGAAAGCAAGAGGACTTTCACTAAGGATTGCAATCAGTGGTGGCCACTATATAAAGTGAATGGCCACTTTATGGATCAATCAACTATAACACTATCTTGCAATTAATGTTGTTTTTGAGGGGAGAAAGAAAATAGGATTAAATGTATTATACTGATATGTTATTTCAGCATCTTAGAGGGAAAAGGAGTGGAATTAAGTTGGCCCCTGACTTAGCCTTTGGTGTTGGCATGAGAAAAGTACAGGCTGGAGAAAAATAAAGGAAGGGTTAAAAGAGTTGTTAAAGGTGTTAAAGGTGTGGCACGTAGTATTTCACAGAGCTGTTTGAAGTTGAATGAGCAGTGGAAGAGGATGTAAGAATGTTAATAGTTCTGCCTCAACAGGAGGCTGTGATCTCAAAATCACCAGTGTGAGCCCTTTGGGGCAGAGGCACCATGATGGTCCAAGAGTTGTCACGGAAACAGAAAAACAGTTAACCCTTAAAACAACCTGAGTTTATGAGAGAGCTCAGATTGCCCAGGGAACTGTTGACGATTGCATTCCCCTGACCGACCCCATGCTGAGACTATAGTCACCCAGGAAATAATGAATGGTAAATACCAAAATCTGGTTAAATTGGGAATGGAGAATCTGTTCCAACAAAATCCAAAAGAAACCCCTACAGAATTTTTGGACCGACTATGAAATGCAATGGAAAACAAAACAAAACAAACAAACGAAACTGGAGAAAATAGAGGCTAAGATAGAACAAGGAAAATGGACACTGCCAGACAGGCAAGAGATATTGCCAAAAGCTTATGAGAAGCAAATATTGGGACGTTTGCATGTACAAACACATTGGGGTACAAAGGTATTAAGTGATCATTTACTAAAACAATTTGGTTGCATTGTTTGTTTGTTTGTTTGTTTGTTTGTTTTTCTTGAAATAGTAAAGCAAATTACATAACCGTTGCTTAACTTGTCAGAAGATAAATAAGAAAGTGTTTCAACAAGCAGCCACGGGAGGGAGAAACAAATCAAAACAGCTTATAGGGCTTTTGAGAAAGTACAAGTTGGTTTCACTGAATTGCCCAAAGTAGAGAGGATAAAATATCTATTGGTAATAGTAGATCATTTAACACAATGGGTAGAAGCTTATCCCGTAGTACAAGCTACAGCACAAATGGTGATAAAAATTCTATTAGAACACCTTATACCTAGATATGGGATAATCCAGTACATTGATTCTGACCAGGGCACACACTTTACTTCTAAAATAATAAAATTATTATGTCAATCATTAGGTATTCAGTGGGAATACCATACTCCATGGCACCCACAAAGCTCAGGGAAAGTAGAAAGAATTAATCAAACAATAAAACAACAATTGGCTAAATTAATGAGCGAGACACAAATGCCCTGAACGAAATGCTTACCATTAGCACTTTTAAACATAAGAACTAAACCATACAGTGAGACTGGATTATCACCATATGAAATGTTACATGATATGCCTTATTCTCAAGGGGTGACTCTAGGGAACAATGTAGTTGAGGATCGTAGCATCCAGAAATATCTAATTACTATTGGAAGGAGATTACAAGAGCTAAGAGAAATTGGAATGATGGCTCAAACACCACCTTTAGGATTTGCTATTCATAAGATACAACCAGGAGACAAGGTCTCAATAAATAAACCTGGAGGGAAGAATCACTGAACCCCTGATGTGAGGGACTGTACCTTGTTTTACTTACTACTGAAACAGCTGTGAGAACCGCAGAAAGGGGTTGGACCCACGCATCCAGAATAAAAGGACCAGTAACTACCGAAACTTGGAGGGTTGAACCCACTCCTGGGGAACTGAAACTCAAGCTAAGGAAGAACTAATATTCTGGCAATGAGGCTCTGCATGAGTTAAGGATGCCAAATAAAGGGGACAAGCCTGAAGGCAGGAAAGGGAGAAGGCAAGACCGGGGACCCTCCACTGCGGTGTTTATGGTCTACCAAGGGAGGCAACCCCTATGGGTATTGAATGCTGAGTGAGAGGGCCTAGACCAGAATTCTCCCACACTAAGGTCAGGTTGTCCTGAGAAAATAACATAAGAACCTCTTTTTTTTTAAACCTATATAAAATTGTGATTCGTTTTCCAGGAGCTGGATCACCCTGACAGGCTGAACGGTAACACAAGCCTGAATTGACCCTGAAAATGGGTCCAACCCCTTGATTGAAGGCATTTGCCTATTATCACAGAATCACAGAATCACAGAATTTCTAGGTTGGAAGAGACCTCAAGATCATCGAGTCCAACCTCTAACCTAATGCTAACAGTACCCACTAAACCATATCCCTAAGCTCTACATCTAGACATCTTCTAAAGTCTTCCAGAGATGGTGACTCCACCACTTCCCTGGGCAGCCTGTTCCAATGTCTAACAACCCTCTCAGTAAAGAAGTTCTTCCTAACATCCAACCTAAAACTCCCCTGGAGCAACTTAAGCCCATTTCCCCTCGTCCTGTCACCAGGCACGTAGGAGAGTAGGCCAAACCCCACCTCGCTACAGCCTCCTTTAAGGTACCTGTAGAGAGCGATAAGGTCGCCCCTGAGCCTCCTTTTCTCCAGGCTGAACAAGCCCAGCTCCCTCAGCCGCCCCTCATAGGACTTGTTCTCCAGGTCCCTCACCAGCTTCGTCGTCCTTCTCTGGACCCGCTCAAGCACCTCCATGTCCTTCTTGTAGCGAGGGGCCAAAAACTGAACACAGTACTCGAGGTGCGGCCTCACCAGAACCGAGTACAGGGGGACGATCACCTCCCTAGCCCTGCTGGTCACACTGTTTCTTATGCAAGCCAGGATGCCGTTGGCCTTTTTGGCCACCTGAACACACTGCTGGCTCATATTCAGCCGACTGTCCACCATCACTCCAAGGTCCTTCTCTGCCTGGCAGCTCTCCAACCACTCATCTCCCAGCCTGTAGCTCTGCTTGGGGTTACTGCATCCCAGGTGCAGGACCCATCACTCAGCCTTATTGAACTTCATGCAGTTGACCTCAGCCCATCGGTGCAGCCTATCCAGATCCTCCTGCAGAGCTTTCCTACCCTCAAGCAGATCGACACACGCACCTAACTTGGTGTCATCTGCAAACTCACTGAAGGTGCACTCAATGCCCTCGTCCAGATCATCGATGAAGATATTAAAGAGAACCGGCCCCAGCACGGAGCCCTGGGGAGTGCCACTAGTGACTGGCCTCCAACTGGACTTGACTCCAATTTGTGGGCATGGTGGGGCCCTCGCCTTCTTCTCAACACAGACACACTCCAGAAATAGGGGGGTCATGGAAGTGTTGCTAAGGACCTTCAGCACCTTTTCGTTTTGCTCTTAGTATTCCTCTGCGTGGTGCTGGTAGTGCTCAAGACTCTTCTGCTGACCCCAGCCATTTCTGTAAGTGCCAGTCCCTTCTTCACCCTTCTCCTCTAGGCACTGTGTGAAGTGCTGATGCCTTTACCATGGCAAGCCGTGACCATGGGGCAACAGTGGTGGTGAATGGGGAAGCCCTACCTGCTGTGTGTGGCTGGGCACTAACTCAGGTTCTCCCTCCAGATGCCAACGTGGATGAGATGGGCAGAGTGAAGGTGAGTTCAGCCCCAGCCCAGCCTTCCACGTTGAGCGTACACGTGATGGTTGCGAGAGGGCAGGCTGTTGGAGAGCAAATGCAAGCCAGAAGTGCATCTGATGGCAGGAGCCTGGGAGCTTCGTGTGGCTGTGCTCTGGCTGAATCCCCCTCTTTCCATGCTCCCAGCACTTTCCCATGGTGGGCACTGTGAGAACAAAGCTACTCCTTGTTCCGGCTTGAGGCGATGCAGCTGGTTCTCTGAGAGAGGCAGAGAGCACTGGGGAAAGCCCGGCCGACCTGCCAGCTGTGAATAAAGCCATCCCAAACAGGAAGGAGCTGGTGTAGTTCTTCTCGGCAAGGTCTGTCTGCAAGACTCTTCACATCCCTTCATATTAACACTACTGCCCCTTTCTTTCTCGATGTCTGTCTGTCTGCTCCATCCCATTCCATGTGTGGCTGCATGAGATGGAGTTGCCATCAGGAACACAAAGTAAGAGATGTGTATTTGTCATCAAAGTAAAACCACATCTGCAGAGCACACACTATTGACCCACACATGCGAGGACATCCCTGCAGTGATATCTGTCCATGTAGGTCAAAAATGGGCATCTCCATGGGTGGCTGGAATAACATCCCCATGACATTATAATGCAACTTAGGTGTACACATCATCCACTGAGCACAGCGAGAGGTTTTCTTTTGTTGAGAAAAAATCAATACACTCACAGTAAGATTTGGTATAGGTCATATATTTTAGAAGTATTAATGTATTGTAGATGGAGGTGTGAGTCCTACATCATCTTGGCTAGACACTCACAGCCCTTCCCTGTGACAAAAAAAAAAAAAAAAAAAAAAAAAAAAAGAAAAGACGAAAGTGCAGCCCCAAACCCCACGTTATGGCTGCACAAGCCCTCTGCAAGAGAGCAAAGGAAGCTGTGGACAAGGCTCCTGTGCCCTTCCCCTGTGGCAGCGCTATCGGGTCTGGGTGCGGGTCACCGTGGCATACGTTGTGGTGTCGCTCATCTGCTGCATGGGAGGAGGCTTTAGGGAGAAAAGAAATCCTGTTACTTCAGCTGCTGTGAGCCCTGCACAATGTGCGGGCACTAGGATCCAGAAGTGCAAAAAGGAGCTGTGCACAGCTGTGCCACGACTCACCCTGTTCCGTCGAACGTGGGCGATGGTGGAGTCTGTGGGGGCAAAAAAACAACACACCATGAGCTCTTTCTGCCTGTTGGTGGAGGGCTGAAACTCACACTGACCTTGGGCAGCAGCTGCCTGTGGTCAGCTCTCGATGCCTGGCCACATTTCCCCTCCCATCACTCTTATCTTGGATGAGCATTAAGCAGCAGTGGAGCAGAGATGCTGAGGTTTTGGTGTATTTCCAGCATTCTGTGGCATCTCCTCTCTTTGCACAGCCAGCACACCTTGCAAGGTGCTCTGTGCAGGCATGGGAAAACAAGGTTGTGCTGCATCTCGAGGGAGGTGCAAATAGGGTGGGGATATATTTATAGCCTGTTACCCAACCACAACATCCTCCTTTGGCTGCTGCCTGTGGTTTCAGAACAAACTATAAAATGTTTTCCCCACAAACGCAAGGAAACAGACCCACATTTTTCATTGCTGTTCTGTCCTTTCTACTAGAGGAAAATGTTTTCCCCACCAGGAGAAGGAGCCACGTATGTCAGTGCTGCTCTTCAAGTAGAAATGCCTCTGAAGGGAAACTGAAGAAAGGACAAAAGCAGCGGCTGGAGCAGGGGAAATGCAGCCTGGGGCTGGAGCAGGTGTGGAAGGAGCCCTCCAGGCAAAGGGGCTTTGTTCCTGTGAGCACTGGGATGCTGCCATGTCCCTTGTGCAGGTAGCAGCCACGCTCTGCATGCAAGGAAGAAGCAGGACATGAGGACACCTGGCCTTGATGAACGGGCAGGGATTTTGCATGTCCCAGTGGGAAATGAAGGGGTAGGATTGCACAGGGGATTGCACAAACAGGGATGACCATGGTCAAAGGGACATGTGGCTTTCCCCAAGGGAGGAGGTAGTACACACACTGGACTTCTCCGTTGCTGGTGTCTTCCATCTGTGGGCTGTCAATGTGCTGCTGCCTGGAGAGGAATGGAATCATTCTGGAGTGTACATTTGTGGACAAGAGGCACTGTGAGAGACACTTTTGGGTGGTGCTGAAATCCATGCCTTGACAAACCCCGTCCTCCCTGCTCCAGCACAGGGAATACAGCCACACACAGAGACAATGCTGCCCCTGGCCAAGGAGCACCCCAGAACGTCGCCATGCCCCCAACTCCCTCCTGCAAACCCCACAGCCAGCAGCCCTTGGTGCTCACCTTGGGCATCTCCCTCTGCAGGCACCTGCAAGAAGAACAGGGGCTGAGGTGCACAGGCCAAGGTGCTGCCCAGCACTGGCTCCCATCTCGGGGCTGGGGGACGAAGACTGAAACTCCCCAGCTCCCTCAGCAGCCTCCCCAGCTGGGCTGCCCACAGCAATCACCCCCAGGCACCATCTGCCCCAGCTGTGAACCCCCAGGTTCCCCCCACCGCCTTTCCCACTGCACCAGCCCCGCAGCAGGACCCCCACAACCTCAGCATTTTTCCCCTTTTTCCCTCTTTTTCCCCCTTTTTCCCCCACTTCCTCACCTTTCTTGATGACAAACCAGCTGCCTGCAGCCAGAAGGACGAGGCCAACGGCTGCCACTGCCAGCACCATGCCTATGGGGAGGGTGTGCGGGATCTGGGCATGTGGAGCTGGGGGACAGAGGGTGTGAGGCCAGCAAGGTGTGATGGGGAGAGGCAGGGAGCAGGACATGCCCATGCAGCCGGCACACCTGCATGCTCATCCTCACCTGGGGAGCTGTGGATGTCCTGGGTGGTCTCACCAGCACTTGAACCTTGTGGAAAAGCAGGCTTTGCTTAGTGACGCCAAGACCTTACACAGCACCATGCCCATGCCTGTTTCCCTGCTGTCGGTGCTTGCTGGACAGGGACATTCCCATCTCTGTGTCTTCCACTTATGCCATTGAGGTCTCCCCTCTGTCACTATCCCATACACCTGCTCACATGTAAGTAATAGCCCTGCTCATGACAATTGTCCTAATTCCCCTGCCACAGTCTCATCAATTTACAGGGCAGACCTTGGAGCATCCCTGGCTCAGCACAGGGTCCATCAAAATCCCCACTCCCATGTGGGATCCACCCCAGAGACATGCCCTGCCTGCTGCAGCACACAGCACCAGCACCAGCAGTGTCCCATCCCTTCTCTATCCATTGCCCTGGGGCCATGTCTCACCTGGCACAGAAAGGGTCCGGGGAGCACTGAGAGCAGAGTTCTTCACCCAGTTTTTCTCGTTCTTCTTCTGATACCCACATGTGTATGTCCCAGCACTTCTCGACGTGATGGTCAGGACCAGAGAGTAGTTGATGTTCCCATGCTGGGCTTTCAGGCTGAACTCCTCCTGCCCATTCTTGCAGAAAAACACACGTGTAGCAGGAAACTGCTCATCAATGGTACATTGAACCAAAACTGTTTCCCCTTCTTGGGCACTGGAAGCGTTCAGGTACAGGACTGGAGCCTGCTTGTTACCTGAAAAGAAGGCAGACGGATTCCCCAGGCAAGCGTTAGTGATTGCTGGGTTGCAAAACCAACTGCATGCCAAGGCTGGAAGAGTCTGCTCTCCTGGGGTTTACAGGGTCTGCTCTCCTGGGGTTTACAGGGGGAATTGTGAGGGAATAATCCCCTTTCTCTTCCCATCTCCTTTCCCAGGACACGTTCATTTTCGGGACCCACCTCCATGCTCCTTCAGTCCTGGAGAGCTGCAGATGTCCTGGGTGGTCAAGACAGCACCTGCAGCATGGGGAAGATAGGGCTTTGCTTAGAGCAGCAGTGACCTCCTCCCTCCCCAAAACATCTCTGCCCCGCAGTGCTGCACACCTGCCCCGCACAAGCTGTCCCCATCCTCCCCTGTGCCCACCACAGGCCTGTCCTGTCCCCAGCAGCAGCCCTCCAGACCTCAGCCTCCCCCCCCACCGAACAATGCCCCAACTCACAGAGTGCCAGCAGCAGGACGGCAGGGCCAGAAAGAGACAGCCTTGCCCATGACGCCTGCCCCAGCATCTTTTGGGACACTTCCTTTGGGGAGCACCGTCTGCTTCAAGTTTCTGCTTTGCTGTGAGCTGGGGACGGTGGGACAGAGGCTTGCAGTGCAGCTGGGAGCTGTCCTGTGGGCTTTCTGTGGCCGCCTGAGCCTGGCCCACAGCAGAAGCTCTCAACAGAGCGGGCCTGGCCTCAGTCCCTGCTATATCTGTTGTGTTTGTTGAGCCCCCGCTCTTATTTTTATCCTCTCAGACACCGCAGCATGCTTGGTTTTTACCTGTATCTCATGAGCAACATCCTTGCAAAGCCATCCTGCTCTGTGTCCCAACACTGCTCAGTGCTTTCTCAGAATCACTAAATCACAGAATTGAAAGGGTTGGAAGGGACCTCGAAAGATCATTGGGTCCAATCCCCCTGCCAAAGCAGGTTCCTTACAGCAGGCTGCCCACTGACCACATCACTCCCCTTGTCTTCAATGTCTGTACAAACGATGCTGCCAGGGGATTCCTGCACCAAGTCCAAAGTGATATTAGAGATTTGGGGCACTTATCAAGGCTGCAGGCAGCGTTGCCCTTTGTCCTGATGGGGAGGGCAAGGGGTGTGAGGAGGTGAAGCACTGGGAGTAGAAGTCAACAATTGGCTGTGGAGCTGTTGTTGGCAGCAGGGTCTGGGGTTCTCTTACTGTGGGATAGTTGGGTCTGAGAGGGTTGAGATAACAGCAGATTTGTCCTGTAAATTTGTGGAAGACTCCTCTTCATTCTCTTTGAACAGAAGGTACTTTTTGGGAAGACAATGTTTTTTTTTTTTGTTTTCTTTTCTATTTTTTTTTCTCTTTCTTTGTATGTGATCTATCCCATGGACGACATTCATGGCTCTTAAAAGGGGTTTGGAGCCATAGTGTGAGGACAGGGAGGTGTTGGAGTGCTTTGTGATCCAGGGACCTCTACCTGGAACAGCAATACAACAAAAAGGGGCTTGGAATGGCCCCAGGGAAGAGACCTCTTTGGTGCTGTTCAAGACACAGTGATGGGAAGGTGGCTTGCCTAGCAATTACCCAGCAGCAGAGGCATGGGTGAGGGCATGTGGGTGCACCAGGTCTCGTCCCCCTTAAGCAAAACCTTCTGTGCCCCATGGTGAAGGCACTGGCATGACCACACAGGACCTCTGCAGATCTCCAGGTGAGTGTGACCATGGGAACGGGTGGCAAAAGGGAGAGGTGTGTGTGCTGAAGATGGGAAGAGAGAGGAGTTTTGTTCCCTGAGTGTGAACACCCCAAAAGGAATCTCTTTCCTGTGAGGCACACAAAGCATTTTGCAGCTCTGCTGCTCCTCCTGCTTCAAAGAGAGGAATCCCTGCTCCATCTCTTTAGGTGGCCTCCTGGCTCGTGCTCTTGTGTTGAACACCATCAGGGTACAAGATGAATAAGTAATTTTGGTTCAGTGCTCCTCCTGTGCTGCACTTACGGGGTTCTCCTATCTCTATAGTATCACCTCTGCTGCAGAAAAGGGGCTCTGCAGGGCCTATGCACAGAGAGCAAGGTCTGGGGATGTGGATGGACCCTGGGCTGTGCCACTACTGCTCCAAGCTGTACCTCTCTCCTTTAGAAACCTATGTCTGGGAATTTACATGAGCTGGCTTGTTCATGGGGATGGGGTCTCAGCATGGCTGGTCCCCACACCCACAGACCATCCTTGCTTAATGGGGTTTTTGCCATCCCACAGCAACACCTGCAAGGATCTGGAATGAGCCACGGTGTCCCCACTGTGGGCTGAGCCATTCCATGTTGCCCTTGACAAAGTTGCTCAATGCCCCATCCAAACTGGCCTTAAACACTTCCAGGGATGGGGCATTCACCACTTCTTGGGGGCTACTGTCATCTGAGAAGCTCCAGAGTACCAGAAATAAACACTTCGGTGGGGCAGATCTCATGTGGAGGAGACCCATACCCTTCTGGGTTGCATTGTATGGCAGTCTGGGGTTTCTCTAATGTCACTAAAAGTTTGTATGTGGGTGGCTTAGTCAAGGCTGTGGTGTCCTTATCATGATCTCAATAGTATTACAGATTATAAAGTTGGGGTTAGGATTAAAATATCTTTTTTTTTTTTTCAGCTTTAGCTTAAACCACACTTACTCAAAAGATTTATTGTTTGCATTGTTCTCCTTGGCCATGATGTTGTTGAGATCAGTTCTGCACTGGGGACAGAGGAAAGACCCTGGTCATTACTAGTTGAAACATAATGGTTTTGCACTTGAAACAGAAAAAAAAAAAAAGTATTATATCTGGGCTCTGATCAGAACTATCTGGCACTCCTATGATATCCTTCCTGTGTGTCTTCAGTACCTCCGTGGGGCACAGCAGGCTGGGAAGGGTAGCTGAAAGAACCGGGGCAAGTGAAAATCCAAATAATTTCCCTAGGAGATTGCTTCAGAATGCCTTTATTGTCAGCATTTGCACGTAGGTCTGCATTGTGCTCATCAAGGCTGGGAGTCAAGGCTCATGATCTGGGGGTATGCACTTGCTGCAGAAAATAAGAAATTATCTTTTGTGCTAAACATAAGCAGGCACCTCAAAGGAAGAAGAGCCACCCTCAGGCGAAGAACCTCAAGGCAAAAAACAAGCACCACATTTATTGAGGTCTGGGATCTCTAGTAAGACAGGACATTGAATTCCCAATGAGAAGAAGTGCTTGCGATTGCATGACTTTCACCAGATGTTTACAGAAAAGCCTCATCTGTCTCTTCATCCTGGGTTTGGTGAGCACTTTCTGCCTGGTGGAGACCATGTCTGTGTTTGCCATCTGGTTGGCAGCTGATAGGTGAACCCATCTCCTGAATGGGGGGGATATTCCACCCTCCCTGCTCACCCTGCCCACACAAACTGCCTCACCATGCCTTGACTGCCACGCCACATTCTCTTTGTCCACCCTGTTCGCCGTGCTCCCGGTCACTTGCATTCCCTAGGGACTGTCTTTGTATGACAGAGGGGGGTGTTGCTGGCTCTGCCCAAGCCTCGTTTGCTGCCCTTGCGAAGGCTTCTGGGTCCTGGTGGCTTCCTCGGCTGCCTCGTGTGGCCTTGAACCAGAAAACACCTTGCATACAACGATCCCCCACTCCACTGCAGAACGCGTCTGCCCCAGAGCTGACTGCCTCGGCGAGAGTTTTAAAACAATTCCCCCTTATCCTATCACTATCTGCTGCATCAAAAAGTTTCTCTCCACCTTTTTAATGTGACTCCTTTAAGTACTGAAAGGCTGCAATGAGGTCTCCCCAGAGCCTTCTCTTCTCCAGGCTGAATATCTCCAGTTCTCTCAGACTTTCTTCAGAGATGTGCTCCAACCTTCTCATCATCTTTATGGCCCTCCTCTAACAGGTCCAAATCCTTTTTGGGCTGGGAGCTTCAGACCTGGATGCAGGAATCCAAGTGGGGCCTTACAAGGGTAGAGCAGAGGAGCACAGTCAGCTCCCTCGACATGCTGGCCACTCCTCTTCATGCAGTCCAGGATTTGGTTGGCTTTCTGAGCTGCAAGCACACGCTGCAGGTTCATGTCAAGCTTCTCAAAGCAAGGTATGCTCAATACCCTGCAAAATTCTAGCAGATCTTTGGAAAATATCTATCTTATAATGACTTATCTTATCATAGATCTTCTAATGAGCTTAATATTTAAAATAAGAGTTTTCAAAAAGGTACTTTTCTCCAAGGAAAATTTATTTATTTTTTTGTTATAAAGATGGTGAAATTTAACTTGTTTAACTTTACAGATGATGTTGAAGTTAGATGTAGAACAGGGAGAATAAGTCATGTTGCCTAGAGGTAGGTGCTGTTTGAGATGCTTCCAGCTGACAGTTATGACAAAAATAAAAATTAAAAAAAAAAAAAGAAGATGCAAATCCTTATAGAGCAAACTCTAGAAAAGATAGACTATATAGCACCACCTAAATTACTACTCTCTTCAATCAACTGAACCTGTTGCTGTACTCATAAGACTGTCATGTCCTGTAAAGGGAGCTCAAATAGCTACATAGAGTTTTCTGAATCTGATCCCAATCTTGTTTATACTACCCGTTTGTTCGTGTTTTTTGTTTTTTTTTTTTTTTTTCTTGAATTTTCTTCCTGTTTTAAACACAAGTTTCTTCTCTTTCAATTACTGTTACACTTAATTCAGTAATTTTACATTACTGAAATATCAGTTCTCAAATTTTCTGTTATACCTTCAACTGAATTGTCTTTCCCCAATCCCTTACATGTGAGAGTCCAATTTATACAGCCTTTAATGCAACAGGAATTTTTTGCTGATGGCAAACAGGTTTGACTGTCCCTTTCTCTTTGGACAGAAATGGGTAAAACATTTCTGCATGTTCCTTTCCAAGGCTTAGAGGGATTTTCACTATGATATTCTTCTGCCCTGCTTCATAAAATTTGACTTGTGCTTCCTCCAAGTCCAGAAGCACACCAATCACTGAGCAACTCATACTCTTCTCAATCTTGCTGTTTTTCTTGCTAGAGAATAACTCTCCCTGGGATCTGTGCAGAGCCCAGAAGTCCTCACCAGCATTTGTCCCTTCTTCTTCTTGCCTCTCTTTCTCCCTCACCACCCCCAGCACCCAATTCTGCTGCTGGTTCACCTCTACCTCCCAGTAGTGTTTCCCAGATGCAAACCCTTCCTTCCCCACAAGCACAGACACTGTGGAGGAACTGTTCAGGCCAGCAGGCTCAGATGAGGTGTCCTCAACTTTTGGAGTCCCCAGCGCTGTGAGCTCTAGGACCCGGCAATCAGGATTCACAGCAATGAAAACTGGAGGAGAAAACAAGAAGAATCCAGTGAGCGGAGCCACTCAGGGACCTGTCTCTGTAGGGAACTATGGGTTGAAGCCTTTGAGGGTCTGATTCAAGGGTGTGATTCAACAAAGAATTGAAACATTCCCCTAAACAGGGCATGCAACAGCCACTGAGGAACCAACAGGTACCTTCAGAGCTATCATAGCCACGTACTCTCTTGGGGTGTAAGTCCAGATGCAATAAATTTACAATAAATTTCTTTACATTACTTTACAATAAATTTCTTGCTTTCTCATTTACATGTTACCCTCCATCCTCTCTGGAATGGTGTCCACACACAGCTCTCTCCTTTGACGCTTTTCAGCAACTCCTTTTCTCAGTCTTCCCAACTACCCCATCCTAGCCTCATTTCCTTT